AGAGAGAGAGAGAGAGAGAGAGAGAGAGAGAGAGAGAGAGGGGATGAAAAGAAGGGACAAGGAAAAGGGTGTGGGACATGAAGTTAGTGGCCACACTAAAGAAAGAGAGAAAAATTAAAGAGAAAAAATAATAGAAAGGAAGGTGGGAAAAGGGAAAAAAGTGAATAAAAGAAAATTGATGACTAAAAAGCAGGGACTAAATCACCAGAGAAAAAAATGCAGCAAACTGAAATGACTTAAAGATTATCTGGATTAGAATTTAGAAAAAAAAAAATAATAATAATAATAATAAAAAACTAAGTAAACAAAATAGAAAAAAATATATGAATTGCGAAAAAAAAATCGCAATTTCAAAAAAAAATATAAAATATATATATATATATATATATATATATATATATATATATATATATATATATATATATATATATATATATATATATATATATATATATATATATATAATATATATATATATAATATATATATATATATATATATATATATATATATATATATATATATATTATATATATATATATATATATATATATATATATATATATATATATATATATATATATATATATATAATATATAATATATATATATATATATAATATATATATATATATATATATATATATATATATATATATATAATATATATATATATATATATATATATAATATATATATATATATATATATATATATATATATATATATATATATATATATATATAATATATATATATATATATATATATATATATATATATATATATATATATATATATATATATAATATATATATATATATATATATATATATATATATATATATATATATATATAACAAAATCGCAATCCGAAAAAAGAAGAAAAAAAAAAACAGAAAGCAAACCGAAAGTTTTTGGTCGGCCTGTTGGAAGGCTCTTAAAATTTTCATAACACGTTCGGCTCTCTATTCGAAGCCTCTGAAAGCTTTTCGCCTCGATCTTTCCCTCGGGCCAAGAAGAAGCTACACTCGCCGGGTGTCCTAAGGGCGGAATTCCCACGCGAAACGGATACCCGAGTGACCCTTACGGCTGGACGATCGCAAGGACCCGCCTTGTTCCTGGATCGCCCATTATTTACAATCATCTACAAAACTCCTTCGCGGCGCTTCTGACTAAAGGGGGGAGGGGGAGGGGGGGGAGTGAAGGGGGGTAGACGGCATTTTTTTAAAGGTGAGGGGGAGCGTAAGGGGGGGAAGGGGGGGGGAGGGGCTGTCTCTCTCTCTCTTTTTCGTCTATTTTCTTCCTTGAGATTCTGTCTATTTGATTATCTATCTTTTTTCTGTCTCCCTTGTTTTTTTTCTCTCTATTTTTTTTCTTTCTCTTTCTACTGTCTCTTTTTCTCTTCCTCTCTCTCTCTCTCTCCCTCCCTCCCTCCCTCCCTCTCTCCCTCTCTCCCTTTCTCCCCTTTCCTCCCTTTCTCCCTTTCTCTCTCTCCCACTCCCTGTCTCTCTCAGAAAGAGAGAGAGATAAAAAAAGAAAGCCAAAGAAAGAAGGAAAAGAGAGAAAGAGAGAGAGAGAGACAGGGAGAGAGACAGAGAGAGAGACAGAGAGAGAGAGGAAGGGGGGGGGCAACCCCTTTCTCTCCCCTTCTCGCTGACCATCGCCGTCTGACCTCCGGGGATGAGCTGAATGTTCGAGCAGCCTCCTCAGTCGAAGGAATTATTTCTCCTCCTCTTCCTCCTCCCCTCTCCCTCTCCCTATTTCCCCTCTTTCCCTCTCCCTATTTTCCCTCTCCCTCCTCCCTTCTCCCTCCTCCCCTCTCCCTTCTCCCCTCTCCCTCCTCCCCTTTCTCCCTCTCCCTCCTCCCTCCTCCCCTCTCCCTATTTTCCCTCTCCCTCCTCCCCTCTCCCTCTTCCCTATTTCCCCTCTCCCCTCTCCCTCCCTCCCTCCTCCCCTCTCCCTCCTCCCCTCTCCCTCTTCCCTATTTCCCCTCTCCCCTCTCCCTCCTCCCCTCTCCCTTCTCCCTCCTCCCCTCTCCCCTCTCCCTATTTCCCCTCTCCCTCCTCCCCTCCCCCTCCTCCCTTCTCCCCTCTCCTTCCTCCCCTCTCCTTATTTCCCCTCTTTACGTAACTTTCTTTGGTAGTCGCTTCTTTAATCGGCTTCCCTGTCTGTCTCCTTCGTTTCCTTTTTTTTTTCTTTGTGGTTCTTTTTTTTATCACTTGTATTTTCTTCTACTTTCGTCTGTTCTTTTTACTGGTTCTTGTTATGTCCTCTTTCTTTTTCCTTCGTTATTTCTTCTCTCCTTTCTTTTTTTCTCCCTTCTCGTACTTCCCCCGTCTTCCCTATCCTTTCTCTTCCATTCTTCCTTCCCCTCTGTCATCCTCCTCCCTCCTCTCCTCTCTCATCCCTCTCCCTACCCCTCTTCCCTTTCCCTTCTCCCCCTTTCTTCTCCCTTCCTCTCCCTTCTTCCCCTTTCTTCTCCTCCTCCCTATCCCCTCTTCCCTCTCCCTCCTCCCCCTTTCTTCTCCTGTCCCCTTTCCTCTCCTCCCCTCTTTCTTCTCTTCCTCCTCCCTCTCCCTCTCTCCCTACCCCCCCTCCCCTCCTGCGATATAGCGACTTAGGTGTGTTCATCCTTCTTATCTTGCCGGATAAGCGGAAATTCGGTTAAGAAACGAGAACGTGGTGGTAGGGGGGATGGTTGCCTG